TCGCTAATTGTAAGATCAATTACCTGTGGTCAGTGTCCACAAGGTAAAGGCTATTACACTAATCCTGTTGCGTAATTTGATTGACAATAGTAATGAGCTATTATGAAAGTAAGTTTACAAAGTATACGTGCTTAGGGATATACAAACTCCATACATGAGTCTGATCTTAATGTCTCAAAGGATGTAGATACTAGTAGTCAAATTCTGTCTAAATGTCATATAAACTTGTTTTGTATAAAGTCACACTTGAGTTACTAGATATGAACAATTCAAAATATAAAGTTGATAATAGATGGTAAGAGTGAAGTTTTTCATGAATAAGCAATTATTTACACAATTAATTTCAGCACTCATTTATCACAAAATATCTGTGTGATAAATCTATGAATGACCTTATAATTACCAGATTAAAAGATGATATTATTTAATTGATTCAGAAAATGATCATCAGGATTTGGCAATGAAATAAATAAATAGTAAAATTGTGACACCGTTTAACATTTTATCAGATGGATTCTATCTATAGGAGTGAGTGATCTTCTGTTCCACGTCTTGATAAGTGCTTTAAGTTTAATAAACTTTTTATCAAAATATTTATTTTGGAATTTCATGAAAATTGACACTAAATTCTATTCCCAGTAGCATGAAGTTTGTCTGTCCCCACTGCAAGCTTAGGTCAGGTAAAATTGTATATTTGCTTCCTATCTGAAACACCACCAACATTTTAGCGAAAGTATTCAATTCTTCTTTAGATTTTTTTAAATACCTTTCTGAACCATCTTAAATGAGAGCAGTGTCATAAGCATACTGAGAAATAATAATTGGACTTTTATTACTTATGCACCCTTAATCCTTTTTTTAAGTCTTATGCGTAATATTTCAACATTCAAAATAAAAATGATGGGGCGACTGAATCACCTTGGCGACAGCCTTTTTATGTTTAGGAAGGATGAAAGATTACCATATTGGTTTATAGTTTAACTAACATTGGTGTGTAGTAGTCCTACACAGCTTCTTATATCAGGACCAAAATTAAAATAACAAATTTTCCATGAGACTGAGTGAAATACTTTCTCACTGCATACCGTCTTAAACCAATCTTCTAAAGTTATCAACCCTTCTGTTGTAGACCAACAGAATCGATTTTATCTAATTTTGAAACATTTCATGTATTAAGAAAATCTGCTAAATCATGGTCATTATTATCATCATATCATTATTCATGAAATAAGCGAACTTCTAAAATTTTATCCTGCTGTGTAATAATAAATTGTTGTCTTTTCTCCTTCCACTTGCCATCTTGCCCTATATTTAATTATACTACCTTTTACCTTCCTCAATAAAATATTTTCCAATTCCCTTTTCTTTATTTCTAAATCTTCTATGTCTACATATTCCTGCTCTTCAATAGTTTGTTTCCTACGTTTTACACCGTAGTATGGTAACATTGAGTTCTACAATTGATTAGACTGTGGTGCTCATCCGTCTAGGTAAAAAGGTCACCGGGCTGGGGGATAGATCTATTTGAGCCTCCGCTCACCTTATTATTTCAAATTATTGATTTAATAATCGTGTTCACCTTACATAACCACAGCCCCACACGCTGTCAGCTTTCAAAGCAATGGTTGCTGATAATTGTCATATAGATAGAGATGTTGACATGATCAGTGGGTTAACGGTGGTGCTGATTAATGAATCTTTCATGAATACTTAGAACTGGACTATTAAAACAGCAAAAAATACAAATAAAAACATTCGATGACAATTTGTTTGTACATTTCATTTACTGAGGGCAATTAACCGAAAGACGATGCATTGTTTTATATACCAAGTCTGCTCATTCGTATTTTAGAACTGCAGCTCACATTTTACCGTGCTAATCGGCGCACCTCGGGCTGGGTGTTTTTTTCTGGGTGGGGTACATTGTGACGAGGCGTTATTTGAAGGTCATTCAGGTCTTACTATTTGAGTAACAGTGTGTTTTTATTCTTCTTCACGTCATACGCTTCGTTAAAACAAATATCCAAAGAGTTCCTGTTATAACAAATATTCAAAGATTTCCTGTTTTACTAAATACCCACGGAGTTCCTGTTTTAACAAATACCCAAAGAGTTCCTGTTTTAACAAATACCCCAAGAGTTCCTGTTTTAACAAATACCCAAAGAGTTTCTGTTTTAACAAATACCCAAAAAGTTACTGTTTTATCAAATACCCAAAGAGTTACTGTTTTAACAAATACCCAAAGAGTTCCTGTTATAACAAATACCCAAAGAGTTCCTGCTATAACAAATACCCAAATACTTCATGTTATAACAAATATCCAAACAGTTTCTGTTATAACAATTACCTCAAGAGTTCCTGTTTTAACAAATACCCAAAGAGTTCCTGTTATAACAAATACCAAAAGAGTTCCTGTTATAACAAATACCCAAAGAGTTCCTGTTTTAACAAATGCCCAAAGAGTTACTGTTTTAACAAATACCCAAAGAGTTCCTGTTTTAACAAATACCCAAAGAGTTCCTGTTTTAACAAATACCCAAAGAGTTCCTGTTTTAACAAATACCCAAAGAGTTCCTGTTTTAACAAATACCCAAAGAGTTCCTGTTTTAACAAATACCCAAAGAGTTCCTGTTTTAACAAATACCCAAAGAGTTCCTGTTTTAACAAATACCCAAAGAGTTCCTGTTTTAACAAATACCCAAAGAGTTCCTGTTTTAACAAATACCCAAAGAGTTCCTGTTTTAACAAATACCCAAAGAGTTCCTGTTTTAACAAATACCCAAAGAGTTCCTGTTTTAACAAATACCCAAAGAGTTCCTGTTTTAACAAATACCCAAAGAGTTCCTGTTTTAACAAATACCCAAAGAGTTCCTGTTTTAACAAATACCCAAAGAGTTCCTGTTTTAACAAATACCCAAAGAGTTCCTGTTTTAACAAATACCCAAAGAGTTCCTGTTTTAACAAATACCCAAAGAGTTCCTGTTTTAACAAATACCCAAAGAGTTCCTGTTTTAACAAATACCCAAAGAGTTCCTGTTTTAACAAATACCCAAAGAGTTCCTGTTTTAACAAATACCCAAAGAGTTCCTGTTTTAACAAATACCCAAAGAGTTCCTGTTTTAACAAATACCCAAAGAGTTCCTGTTTTAACAAATACCCAAAGAGTTCCTGTTTTAACAAATACCCAAAGAGTTCCTGTTTTAACAAATACCCAAAGAGTTCCTGTTTTAACAAATACCCAAAGAGTTCCTGTTTTAACAAATACCCAAAGAGTTCCTGTTTTAACAAATACCCAAAGAGTTCCTGTTTTAACAAATACCCAAAGAGTTCCTGTTTTAACAAATACCCAAAGAGTTCCTGTTTTAACAAATACCCAAAGAGTTCCTGTTTTAACAAATACCCAAAGAGTTCCTGTTTTAACAAATACCCAAAGAGTTCCTGTTTTAACAAATACCCAAAGAGTTCCTGTTTTAACAAATACCCAAAGAGTTCCTGTTTTAACAAATACCCAAAGAGTTCCTGTTTTAACAAATACCCAAAGAGTTCCTGTTTTAACAAATACCCAAAGAGTTCCTGTTTTAACAAATACCCAAAAGAGTTACTGTTTTATCAAATACCCAAAGAGTTACTGTTTTAACAAATACCCAAAGAGTTACTGTTTTAACAAATACCCAAAGAGTTCCTGTTTTAACAAATACCCAAAGAGTTCCTGTTTTAACAAATACCCAAAGAGTTCCTGTTTTAACAAATACCCAAAGAGTTCCTGTTTTAACAAATACCCAAAGAGTTCCTGTTTTAACAAATACCCAAAGAGTTCCTGTTTTAACAAATACCCAAAGAGTTCCTGTTTTAACAAATACCCAAAGAGTTCCTGTTTTAACAAATACCCAAAGAGTTCCTGTTTTAACAAATACCCAAAGAGTTCCTGTTTTAACAAATACCCAAAGAGTTCCTGTTTTAACAAATACCCAAAGAGTTCCTGTTTTAACAAATACCCAAAGAGTTCCTGTTTTAACAAATACCCAAAGAGTTCCTGTTTTAACAAATACCCAAAGAGTTCCTGTTTTAACAAATACCCAAAGAGTTCCTGTTTTAACAAATACCCAAAGAGTTCCTGTATTAACAAATACCCAAAAGAGTTACTGTTTTATCAAATACCCAAAGAGTTACTGTTTTAACAAATACCCAAAGAGTTACTGTTTTAACAAATACCCAAAGAGTTCCTGTTTTAACAAATACCCAAAGAGTTCCTGTTTTAACAAATACCCAAAGAGTTCCTGTTTTAACAAATACCCAAAGAGTTCCTGTTTTAACAAATACCCAAAGAGTTCCTGTTTTAACAAATACCCAAAGAGTTCCTGTTATAACAAATACCCAAAAGAGTTACTGTTTTATCAAATACCCAAAGAGTTACTGTTTTAACAAATACCCAAAGAGTTACTGTTTTAACAAATACCCAAAGAGTTCCTGTTTTAACAAATACCCAAAGAGTTACTGTTTTATCAAATACCCAAAGAGTTACTGTTATAACAAATACCCAAAGAGTTCCTGCTATAACAAATACCCAAAGACTTCATGTTATAACAAATATCCAAACAGTTTCTGTTATAACAATTACCTAAAGAGTTCCTGTTTTAACAAATACCCAAAGAGTTCCTGTTATAACAAATACCAAAAGAGTTCCTGTTATAACAAATACCAAAAGAGTTCCTGTTATAACAAATACCAAAAGTGTTCCTGTTATAAAAAATACCCAAAGAGTTCCTGTTATAACAAATACCCAAAGAGAATCTGTGATAAACTTAATATTTTCTGTTTTAATCATTTGTTGTTGGATGTAACAATTTGAAAGCAATTAACATGTACAGATATCAATGTTTAATTTCAATTACAAATGCATGCTTCAAATCCTGCAAAAACATTTCTTTCATCAATTTATTTATTGCTCATTGACTTCGAATATAAAAAAGGAGTGAAAAGACTCATTTTGTGATATTTTTTTTTATTTAAATGCTTATTTAATACTTTTTGAAGGTAACCTTTTCTTTTCTTGATAAATTGTATAAAGTCGAATGCGAAATCGGAAAATAATTTCACAAAACATGAGTATGATATCACAAACAATCACAAACATGCAATACTCATCATGTGACTGACACCTTTGAGGGTTCGCGAGTCACGTTACTGACACATTGGACGGGTCGCGAGTCACGTTACTGAAACCTTGGAGTCGCGAGTCACGTTACTGACACCTTGGAGGGATTGCCTGCCAAATATGTTCTACTCCGAGGCGTCAACTTGAAAATACAAAGCATCATTGCGAAGAGAAATGATCCTTAGGCAGGTATTTTTTCAAGGTAGAGATTCACAGCGCTCTGTGTCCTAACAAAAGAGATTTCCAATTTCCTCAACATTTCTGACGAAAGACCTACATGGTCGTATCTCGATCAGTATTACAGTTCATCTTCAGTTTCACAACCTATTACGATAACTTTGTTCCGTTAATATTTCAGAACAAATTAGTACAAGCATGGCAGCCATCTGTGTTGTCGTACACGGGGAGTAGCCTCAATCGTAAGTGTTACTGCTGGCTCGAGTTCGATCAAATTATCATAATATTGGCACGTTGTAATCACACTATGGTAAACAAATCACATAAACTAAAATAAAAAAAAATGAAATGTAAACATGTTTTCGTCACCAGTGGTTTAAGTTTACGGACATGTCCATTTAACCAACTTTTAGCAAAAATCCGTACACTTTTATAGAAAAATATTTTGCTAAAACATTCGGTAGATCAGTCGACTTTTGTGATGTAGTTTGTCTGGTCTGTGTGGTAATACTTTGGCCATGGCTCGGTGAACTGGGCGGGGTCCTTTTGGTGCCACCTGGCGGGTAAATCTAGTTTACCTGGGAGTTGTGCCCCTTTGTATGTTGACATGTAAACCGTATCCATCCTTCTGATGTATTCCTCCATATTTCGACCTTAAAAACATTTACAAAGAACGGTTTGACATTTATACCAATTTCATTTTGTTCTTTAGAGTGTGAAATGTCCCAGGGTGTTATAATGTCGGTATATTTAATAGACTATCGTGGCTTTATCCGTGTTAGGAGGAAGCAGGTCTATCGCTAGTAAAATCATTAAGATAAAACCTTCTAATGTGATGCATCTTTATTCTAGCATGCATCTCTAATAAAATAAAATATAAATATAGTCGTGAAATACAATTAATATCGTTATTGTTAATGTCATTTAATGCTATTATTTCACACTAGAAAGAATATTTACAAAGCGGAATCTGTTGGGGGAGTAAGTACAAGAGTATTAGTGAAAAAATGTCTCACTCGAGTAAGAAATAGAATATGACAGCAAAACTCTCCTACAATGAAAGGCACTGAAAATGAATGATCATTTACACATTTTCGAGGCAATGTCCTTTCGAAATAGACGAAATATAACGCACTACAAATACTGTATGATGTATATAATATTTCAACACGAGGGCTTCAGGAAACACCCAGTGCACCCGTCACTTACCCGACAGTTTAGTTTGTGTAGCCACGGTTTTGGTTTTCGACCTCTCGCTCAGTTCTTGTTTCTCGATCGCTTTCCTGTGAATATAGATGGGTATTACTATAACGGACTGATTTGAATTTCGAAACAAAGCAGGACTTCTCTGGTAAACAATTAAGTGTATCGTTATTGATTGAATCTGGTTTACCAACACTACCGAACCTAGATGCTAACAATGTTCCGAGCTTTAGACTGTCCTTTATCAAGTTTTCTTTCCTACCATTGAGTTTACGTTTTTGTAATTTTCTAGATATACTTTCAAATGTTTCATATCTAATGATGCCAGTTCATCTCGAAAACCTTCTATTTTTGGCTGACACAATATATATCATGTTACATGCAAGTCCTGGCAACAGTGCAGGTCTGTGATAAACGGGCAATAAAATAGTTTTGACAGACTGGAAAAGAAAAATTAATACCAATACACGTGCAAATATGTTAACATCATCCGACAGGAATGGATTATTAAGTTATTCAATGTTAAATGGTATTCACTCGTGACTAATGTCTACTTGTCAATGCTAAAATGAAGGTCGAGACTAAATCTGAAATACACTCCTATTATATATGTTAAGGTACGGTGTACTGTACAAATACCGCAAAAACAGATACATACAGAGTTCAGCAGCATGAAGAACACCTCTGACGTCACATTGGGAACTGTTTTCAGGTAGGGGAGCAAATTTAATATTGGTGCAGTTGACATCAACGAGGCCAGGCAGGCCAGTTGTTGCAGCATCAAAGAAGAACATTGCTTTCGTGGTGAAAGCATATATGAAGGATGATGGTCGTTATACTGTTTATGAGATAGCTCATATACTATATATAGTAGTTGGCAGATTTGAAGGCAGTTTACAGCACATTCTGAGCAGGTGCTTGACATTAAAGAAGCTCTGTGCCCGATGAATCACCCATTTGCTGACAGCTGAACAAAAGGCCAAGCGTTTTGTATGTACTAAAGATATATCAACAGCACGGTAATTGCGGCTCGTGAAAGCTATCTGAGTTACTTACAGGGGACGAGACCTGGGTATAAGGAGAGATGGGTACCGACAAATCGAGCAAGGCCAATGATTGCAAGACGTATGAAAAGCACCATTAATGTTTTCTATGCTAATTTTTCAATTCCAGTGGATTTGAGGTTCAGATACCGTGCAAGGAAGAACTTTCACCGCCAAGTTGTACAGAGACAAAGCACTGAAGACATTCATCTAATTCACAACAATGACTCACCCCACACAAACAGTAGTGTACAGGCGTTTTTGAAGCAAGAGAAGGTAGCACACAGAGTGACCAACCACCATACTCACCAGATCTAAATCCCTGTGAGTTCTTTCTAGTTCCTTTACTCAGGAAAATGCTCTCTGTAAAACGATTTACCTCTAGGAGTGCTCTGGGTAGTGTATTCTGCAAATGTCTCGCAAGTATACCAAGGGGAGACTACCGCGCAATGTTTACGTCGTGGATAGCGTGATTGCGAACGTGCGTTTCTGCTAAGGGGGGTACTTGGAATGTACAACGTACTTGTGATTCCTGACACTAGTGACAGAATGTATTGAATGGCCCTCGTATGATACACTGTATAAGAGGAAAACGAGTTGATAAGTCGATGTATACTTTTGCTAAATTCTCTGCTCAAAAATTGGTCAATCATATATTAAAATAAAAGAGTAGGACAATGACCAGAGAGTGTTGCATACATTATTTCGTCTTTGCGTATTGCAGAGTTATCTTCTCTTGAGAGCAGGTATTGATTGTTACTTCATTTGTTTGTGAGAGTAGCGTCATCAGTTTTTGAGAAAACGACGTAATTTTCTCACACAAACCAATGACGAAACAATCAATACCTGATCTCAAGAGAAGATAACTCTGCAATACGCAAAGACGGAATAGGTCGATAACTATTACACAGTGGCATCCAATGTTATTTGTTAATGTAAATATATTTTCTAAAGCTTTTTCAAAACCGTCTCTATTTGTTTCACTTTCTACAGAGATAATATAATATGTTATGATATATTTTTGGCTACTTGTGATCCTTTGGAGTCACAGAACTTGCAAATTTTATTTTTAGGTTTAAACATAATATCAGGATAAAAGGTTTCCTTCTGCAAAAGTAAACAATACAGAACAACACAAAAGTGCCAGTCTTTCCTACGACAACAGTTATCAGATATATGTGTTACCCGATGAAGAATCTTATTTACAATTGTAGAAAAATTGGACAAAAACAATATCTGAATGTTTTCCCCACTGAAAACAAGTACAAAATATTGATTTTGATTAAAGATTTTTTTATTTTCAAAAATACACCTACAATAATATTAAAGCAATGTCGTCCTTACCTATACATCTTGTGGTACATCCATACCCCTAGACCTATCACTCCGACCAGGATCAACAGAATCACCACAATCAGTGCAATCAGTGCTAAGATTGTCTTTCCAGCTTCCCCTTCAAAAACAGAAGTAGATGGCGTTGTGATTGGTGGCGGAACTCTTATAGGAGGAGGCGGAGAAGTGGCAGGACTGGTTGTAATTGTACTTCCGTTATTTGTCGACGTCTAGGACCAAAATTTTACACGTAAATAACAATAATGTAAAAACAGACTTAACGTGTCCGTTTATTTAGTGCATACTTTAGTTAATACAATATCTTGAATATAATCTTCAACAAAATATGTTAATTATTATTATTACAAAATGAGAGATCAAATAACTACGCTATCTACAAAAGGAAGTGAAGACATTTATTTCGACGAGAATAAAGACGTCTAGAGGAGAAGTGAGGTTGTTATGTGAGGAGGAGAATTAAAAATGTTTCAATTATGTACCTTTATAGTCGCTTATTATCTAATGTTATATTACCATATTATGTACATTTTCAACAAAATTTGCTTAGCGGACAAACATACTTAAAACCTGTCCAGCTCATAGTCACAATGTTCTGCTGTATTTACCGCGAATTAAACTTGAAAAATTCGTTTGTAAATCTGTCAAATGCTGATTTCATGTGTTTACGAGCGATGTCGATATATTGGTGGATTTTATTGATTGAAATAAATATCTGGTATAAGCATATATTGCGTCAGTGTTCATTGCTTATCAGAAATCATACATATAGGTATAGGCATCACGTGACAAATGTTACGGTTCGCAAAAAGAGCAGCCTTCTTTAAATAATAAGATTATTATCGCCTTGCATAGGCGTTTAGACACAGTTCGTTTTGTTCCTATATCTTATTATAAAGTTTGCACCGTTATTTATCACATGCTGACCGTGTTGTTATGTAATGTCTAATATCTTACGTACGGTCTTGTGTAATATCACTTAAAGTAACATCATAAAATAAAACAAAAATGACGTCACAGACATTCAGATCATAAATACAGACGTGATGTAAGAATAGAACACTGAATATAATCCCATGACGTCAGTGTAGCAGACTGAAAGAATGGTCTCCAAAAGCCTGTTTTTCCGCAAATACTCGTTAAAGTCTTGGGCAAATGATAAAAAGGATATTTTATTTGTTTCCGTTTAAGTGCGATTTCTATAACGATTTTATAGACACGCCCACCCCCGCGCCTTGTAGCGAGACTCATACAATGTACAAGGTAAAATAAGAAAACTTTGTGACGAGTTTCCGACGTGACAAAAAACTGATCTAACATCCTATACATTTCTGTTCCATTATATTAAACCAAACAACAACTACGGAGACATGGTAGTCTAGTGTAGGACGCCGGGCTCGTGACCGAAGGGTTGTGGGTTCGACTCACGTCACGGCACTGTGTTGTATCCTTGAGCAAGAGACTTTACATCGCTTGTTCCAGTCTACTTATCTGTAAATAAGTACGTGGTTGGGCAGTGCTTGAATTGTTGAATGCTAGGTGTGAGCGCCGAAATAGCAACACTGGCTGTATGCTCCCCAGGGGGTTGAGAAAGGTATGTTGGCTCGTTGCATAGGCCCTACAACTACGGGAAATAACTTGTGAACCGCCTTGAGACGTCCTACGAACTAGGTTGTGATAAAGCGGTATATAAGAAGCCTCCAATTATTAATTATTATTATAACTTACCGATGTCATAATAAAACGACTGTATATTCCCAACAAACAACACACTACTACAAAGTCCACAAGTGGATGTAAATAATCCTCATAGTAAATAGAGTGTCGTTGAAATTCTTCCCGTGGAAAGGGTAGCGCAATGTTTTATTATAATACTGGGAATTACCGTTCACATCCACACCCCACGATCAACCGAATCTATCTGCTTTACATACCTGATCGACCTTTACATTGGTCTTGCCTTCGATCAGCAACACACTCCGACTATATGTAGATAACCCTACTGTAGCCGACATTGATAACTTTTATAGTCGCCGACATTCTTTGATAATATACTCCTTTACTACACTCGCCTGATAAAAGTTATTGTTCACGGTAAACAAGATAGATAGCATGTACTCTGTATATGTAGATCTCGCTCCTTAGATCCAAAACAAAATTCGAAAAAGTATTTTCAGTGAATATCTAATAACAGTATCACTGAGGTAAAGGATGCAGAATCAATCAATATTTCCCAGCCACCGGACCAAGCCACCAAAGCCGCTGGCATTATTAAATCATAATTTCTAAATTATTTCAAGTAATGTTGCAGAAAATAATAATAATAATGATAATAATAATAGACTTTATTTATACTCGATAATAACATGTTGAGTCACAGACTCTTCTCACACATGACCGAGAACATATATACAAGTATGTACAACATGGATAATACGTTACAAATATAAGAGATAATGCAAAACACATACATTATAAAGAAACATTGTATACATATATAAAGCTATACTGCTTTTCAATTGAGTAATTAATTATATAACTACATTTCATTACAACACATATGTCAACCATTCTGTTATAGTAACACACGCTGCTGAAACATAATTACATATCGTAGTATATTGCTCATTGGGAAAGTCGTAATGTCCAGATCAGGTCGAAAGAGAGTTGGGTTTTTTTGCTTTATACTAGTAGTTTAAAATCGTTTCTGCAGTTGGTTTTAAAAACTGCAAGTGATTAGGAGGATTTGGTTTGAGTGGATAGGCTGTTCCAAAGATGTGGTCCTTGATATAAAAATGACCGCTTGAAACGTTCTGTTTTGTGTTTTGGTAAACGGTAATTTCTTGCTGTTGCGGTGCGTGTGTTTCTGTTGTGACTTTCCTGGACTATAAAGTGTGTGTTTTGAGATATGCAGGGGTAGAATCATTGACAACCTTGTACATTAATATATATTCATTATATGCCACTCTTTTGGGAAGGGGCAACCAATTTAACTTTTTAAATAAATGTTCAGATGGTGAAGAAAAATCTGCATCAAGAATGGATCTGGCAATTCTCTTTTGAATTCGTTGGAGTTTATGAATACTTTTGGTTGTACAGTGGCCCCATATATTAGAGCAGTAATCAAAGTATGGAAGCATAAAACAGTTATAGTATGTGATTCTGGGCGGTATGGGTAAAAACATTTTAATTTTAGTAAGATGGTGTAGTTTAAAAACAACTTTCTTAAGTTCTCGAACTTGCATATCCCACGACAGATGTTCATCAATGCACACTCCAAGAAGCTTTTCTGATTTTACATTTTCCAGAGTGGTATCATTAAAAATAACGTTAAATTTCTTAGCACATGCTTTCCTTTTCTGTCTTGTACAAATTAACATAGCTTTTGTTTTTTTCCGCATTTAAAACCATTTTATTTTCCTTGCACCAAATCGAGACATTCACCAAATCGTCATTTAAGGCCGTTTAAATTTTAGAAATATCCTTGTAAGCTTTGTGCATTGATGTATCATCTGCGTATAGGTGCATATCACATGAGTTGACAAATAAGGATAAATCATTCACATATAGGAGAAATAAGAGTGGTCCCGCTATTGATCCCTGAGGTATACCTGTCTCTACACCTGTCGGGTCGCTAAAACTACCTTTGAATGAAACCTTTGGAGTTCTCTCTGATAGATATGATTTAAAAAACAGTAGCGAACTCTTTGAACATCCATATATTTTTTGAAAGTTTTTGAGGTAGTATTTTGTGATCAACAAGATCAAAAGCTTTTCTAAAATCAATGTAGACGAAGCCTAACATACTGCCTTTATCAAGTACTTCATACCAAGTATTCGATACTGATGTTAAAGCAGTTTGGCATGAGTGTTTAGATCGAAACCCTGACTGGTTTTCAATAATAAGGTTGTTACCAGTTAAAAATACATAAAAACTCTTGTGAACATGTTTTTCTAAAAGCTTTGACAGGACTGGTAATATGGATATTGGCCTGTAATTTTTCACACATGTTTTGTCACCCTTTTTAAAAATTGGGTTCACCAAATTGGGTTATGAAAAACACATCATAACACGAACTCTCTATGTATAGTAGTAGACAAGTTCCGGGATGGAATCCCTGTGGCAGAGGAAATATTTTCATGTACAAAAGACAAAAAAAGAAGTAAGGGTATTTTACTACATTATGTAGAAAATGGGCAAACCATTACAAGTATATACGATGCAGAACATATCAGAACACTCCTGTTCATCGGAGACAAAACAACTCAGAGCGCTAGGACTCTATCTACACCTTCAAACAAAAACAGTCGCCTCATTTGTCCTGTAGCTGACTTTGTAGTTCGTAATGCTGTCTCTCTTTGTTCGTTCCTGGTTTCACGTACTCTCAAACGTTAAGTCAGATGAAGACGTGGGCCTACGGAGACACCGACGAAAAATTAGAGAAGAAAGGAAGCAAGGGGAAAAATAAATAATTCCCATAATCAGAAGACAAAGGGAAAAGGAGGTCTAATTGGCCTGCATTGCTCGCCTGTTATCACCTCACTTATGTGACCGTAAAAGAAGGTCAGGGTCAAATTTAAACACGCTGATTGTCATTACTCAACATACTATCAGTATTTGTATTATTACCATTATGAATGTTGAATGGGAGATTTTTCTTTAACAATCTGACCCTCAAAGTTGGTCTAGGTTATATTCATTCATATCACACATCCCATAACACTTTAAAATAATTAAAGATTAACTTGAATATATTTTCTATGTTATGGAGATATAACCCAAAAAACGGAATGTACTCTAAATAGAGAATACACTCCGGTTTTTTTGTGTTATAGCTCCATTACTAACTATATACAATCCCTGTGTAAATCCACTTTCATTGATGGCCTCTTTTCTCTTAGAAATTATTACGCCAGTGTATCAGCCAATCAAAACCATTTTTTTACGTTATAGGCTCATAACATAATTTTTTAAGCCAATGGAAATGCTTGTTATAAGCAAGATTAAATTATCAGGCTGTAAGCTAGTTATCATAATCCTACATCTCTGTGTTCGGGAGAAGTCAGTTAAAGGTTTTAACACATAGGTTTTTCTGTGACCTTAAAAACTGCGAAATGTCATTTATTTGAGCGAACTTTATAGCACTTTAGCCCACCGAGCCTCTTGGTTATTCAGAAGAAGTTATTTAGCAGTAAAACGTGTGTGCTGTCGGATTGGCAGACGACAGAAAACACACAATGTGAGCTCACTTAGCCCTTCGAGACGAGTGATCTAAAAACAAATCAGAGTTAACGATGTACAAATCGTTTACGTTCAGAACAGGAACAAAGGCTCCTTAACTTGTCAACTCTTTATCTTCTTACATCAATACCAACCAAATCCATAGCAGGGAGCACTCCGCCAAGTTTCAGATAGATTAATAGATCAAACCAATGGTGTATCCGAAGTGTGGACAGGTTGTGTTGTATCGTGCCATCAGTACTGGCCGTGCGTCACTAGATCTGTTGTCTGGTATTATGTTGGCAATCAGCACACCCACGCTATACCGGGCAGGCGATTGAAGCGAGACTGTAAATTCTGCTTTTTATGACATTATGTATGCCTAATGCTTCAATTTGAAATTATTAGTTTAATGTTCTTGTCGATAGGACAAAATCCAGGTTTTAGTTGTCAAAGTTATATTTCCGACCATAACTCGTATTTGAGTAAGCATAAATAATAAAGCATATGTATATAAAATTAAAATTTATTTATTTTAACCATGTTTATTATTTATATGTATCACTTTTTTATGTCCTAAAGCAAGCGTGCAGTGTGTCTTTATGGGTAGGATACTGTAGAACTACACGAGGTCGGGTATGTCTGGTTTGGTTACTTTTTTATTAACGTCCTAAGATCATTTAAGGACGTGCCTTCTTAAAACAAGAAACTTTATTTAAAGTCGCATAAATGTAAACAAATAATATCAGCCTAGCTCTTGAGAGCTATTATGTCGACAAACATATGTAAAATAACAATAACACATTATATAAAGTTGTATAAGAGCTACATTAGTACATTGGTATAAATAGTGGTATTCGTCCCCAACACAGTCTAAACTTATATTTTTTTTTTCGTTCATTACGATTAAGCTTTAAAAGATATGGTTCAATATCAAACTGGTATTTGAATAAGGAGTAAACTTGCCCTCGCGAGGAAGTTTCAACATCATGAAACCATAATCTCCGCTTAATGATAGTTTTCAAGCATTGTCTATTAATTGTACATGCTATTTGGAACGTCCATAAATTATCAAAATCCAGTATTGTTTAGTAAAACTCGTATACACGTTAACCATTTTAAACTTAATACAAAATGATGGTGCAAATTATACATTAACTTATACATTACACTAGATAATTTCGATCCAACTGTTATAAGCTTATGCCAGAACATAACCATTCTAACACTGACTTCAATTTCTAGATGGTACCTTCCCAACTCACCATATACCATATAATTTGGGGTGCTCTTCCGAATGTTTAGAATTTCCTTACAAAACTGTAAATGTGTTGTTTTTTTGGATACTTTTTGTATTTTACTTCCATATAATAAAATTGTTGGCACAAGTGCATCAAATAATTTCAGTTGGAGATTTACAGAAAGGGAAACACAATACATATAAAGCTTTTTTTCCTTGCTCTGTTAGTTTACTTTTGGCTTTTGTTAAAACACCATTGTTGTTTAATATTATTCCATGATATGGGTACGAATCTTGTATTTCTAAAATATCATTTTTGAACGAAAAGTGATGGTCTCTTTTACTTTTTTTTTCAAAAATTAAAATTTTAGTTCTTTGTGTTTT